TACCTTCCTCAAGTCACTTTGTTAATGAAGACTTGCATTGATGGGGCATTGACCAATGAAGATGGTGTTACCATTTTGGACCATGCTACAGTTAATAACTACGAGCATGCCAACCATCGAATTGCTGACCATGGTTTGGTTTATGCTGACTATTACTTTTTGGAAGTAGGAAACCGTCTGATAGATATGGGATTAGCTTAAATAATCTTTAGAAGGACGTTTGGGTGCCTGCTGAAACACAGTTAGACAGGTACTCACGGTCAAAAGAGATTGCATACAAGTCACTTTTTTTTTTTTTCCAACTTTCAGAAGAACCTGAATGTCACTAATAAACAAGAATATACACAGTACATGCAGTGAGCGCGTTGGGTAGGTATCGATGATCTACATTGATGAAAACTGACCTTTGATCATCATGATTCCACGGTAACGAAACCATCAGCTACTATATCATTTAAATGACAGGATCCCTTTGCAAGTTGAAGCAGTTCTAAAGGATTCTACTGCTATAATTTAAATGGCATCGATGCTAAACTTTCTTATATCTCTCGACCGACTGTTGCACTACAAAATGTGAACGCGTACCAATGAAGGACCTATACACCGTCATAGTATTTGTCCGTAAATATTGCAATAGTGATCTTGGTTTTGAACGCCTGATAGTCTTTTACATAGTCTTTTAGTTACCTTACACATTTCAAGAACCTTGGAGGTGTAGATCGATGGAGATATGGACTAGCAAATCCAACAAAGAGGAGACAGAGATTCATAAATGATTAATGCACACCAAGCCTTGAACGCGAGCTCGACAAGGGGGGGGGGGGATGTAAGATCACCATTCCGGCAATATAGCCTTATTTTCTGCAAAAAATATGATTTCAACATTTGAACGTCCACCATTGATGTATTGCGTCAATTGTTCAGAGGAACGAAAGTCCCAAGCATCGTCTGTATTATCCAGCGCACCAAACATCTTCTGGAAACACGCTGGGCAGACCAGCTAAGCTTTTGACACCAACGCTCTGAATTGGTATAGATTATCTCTGTAGCTTGTGCTTTGATGCCCTCAACCATATTGAACGAGGTTGCACAGATACATACTTTGGGATTTTCAGCGGCAACTCGAAGTTGCCGGGCCGTCTCCGCCTCCACATTACCTAACTTACCATATTAAAATCAAACAACCATAGAACATCTGGAATTACAGCCCACCACCTTCGAAAACGGAAAGTTTGTATCACCCATTTCCATCATCGGCAACCATCATCTGAAAATCGAAGAGAACCTACATGATGCCTTCAGAGCCGCATTTTAACCCTCTGTTACATTCTTTTCCTTCTGGGGCTGCGAGCGTAGAGCAGAACAAAGTGTAGCTCATTTTCATAAAGCTGCCGCTAACCTGGAAGGATTTGCACAACCACTTTGGGGAACCATACCTTTCCTTGTAGGTGGTCGTAAATTTGAACACTAAACCTGTATCACGGAGAATGATAAATGGAACAAACCCAATTATTTAGAATACTGAAGAATTTTGGGGCAGGATAACGCCAAGCTGAACTAGTCGCCATTGCTTTTCTGTGATTTTAACCCCTAAGCAGTTTTAAAACCTCTTTTCGACAAGCCAAAGAGAATATGGTTGTTATATCTTAGACATTATCGTGACAAAGATTGTCCTATCTGTAACTGGCGGTTTTTCCGTGTCTTGGTGGATCTAGGACTGAAAATGGTTTGGGCACAGTACAGAGATAATCTGGCAGATGAAATTATGGATTATATGTATTCATACTAACTTGGACAAGACTATTATGGAGATGGTTTCGAAATTTATCAGATGCACTACTATAATTCTTGAGTCTATCAATTTTACGGCCGAATCTACGCCAAAATTGCCAAGAAGATTCAGAGCGTCAAAGAGGTAAACTGATTGCGAAAGGATCTGCCGGGCAGTTCCAAAATTATTTTGTTGATGCTGGACCAATTGTCCCACTTGATAAACGTTTCATCAAAGGATTCGTTTACAGTTCTCACTGGGCCCCTTGCTTTCGCTGATGAAGAAGCTCTTCCATGAGGTGACATCAAAGTTCTATATTTGCGCCACAGGAAAAAATGGTATATCCGAGTTCATCGTAGTGAAAGTGGCTTTCCGTTCAGGCTTCAATGAAGCCGATTTTCACTCTCCTAGACTAATGCTGCTGGCAAGGCATCAAAATAAAATTTCTCTGGCAGCGGCATGTAACCCAATATCGAGGACATTATTGGAATGGTTAATCTGAGTACAAATCGAAGGGTACGCTTCAACCTTTGCAGCTTTAGCGATACCAGACACTCAAGTTGCCATAAGCGACTAGAATGCTATTCCTAAATTGCCATCTGTAGATAATTTGCAAGCAATCAAAAATCGCCCAAGCCTTCCTTGGTGATAGCTTAATGTGTTTATTAAAGCATAATGACATGTACAATGCAACATTTACTAATGTAAAAAGTATTGGATTATGTAAAGAAAAAGAAAAGGGGGGCTGTGGAGTTCTGTGGCCAGCAATTTAATAAAATATAATAAAAGAATTGGTACTGAAGATTGATACGTGACAGCATACATATCACCAATTTTATTGCTCAAGCTCACAGGCTTGCCCATGCAAAGTCTACTCATGCCACACATTTTTGCTTTATCGAGTACTCATCCCATTACCAATGAGCCAAAAATGCAAACTTCCTTTTGGTCAATGTCGAGATTTAAGTAAGAGACTTTTTTTTAATGAAAATGGATGTTAAAAAAAAAAAAAGTAATGGTTGAAAATCTTTTTATGAAGGACAACCACTTTGGCCCCGTACTCTTTGTCAATATTTTATTTCATATCCAGCATTAAGACTAGTTATACCAAATAATCCATTTAACTTGACACGACTTCTATTTGCGCAGGTGGGCGAAAATGTCATTGTGAGAGACTCAGTAGTGTCTTCTTGAAGTTGAGCTCAAGGATTCATACGATATAGTTGTATTCAAAAACATAAAGTACACATTCATTTATTGATTGAACAATATTAGAAGATAGCTTCAAGATTCAAGTAAATGTTAGCAACAACTATACAAAAATTAAGGGGATTTAACGTTTTCTTCCATACCGAGTTTTTCATCGGACAATGACCGAGGTTGATCAGCAGCAGGATCTTCCATGTCGCCGTGGCGATAAGCACCAGCCCCAACAGCAGCCGCTTCTCCTTCAAAAATTACAGAAATTTCCTCAAGACTGAGACCCTTAGTTTCAGGGAAGTAGAAGTAGACGACAACAATCTCAACTGCAATAACGCAGCAGTAGACGATGTAGTATTTCCAACCGATGGCATCCATGGCAATAGGATTTACATAGGAGCTGAAAAGTCCGATAATTTGACCCATCAGTTGAAATAAGGCCGAGGCCTTGGATCGAAGTTCATAAGGTGCCACTTCAGTCAAGAAAAGATTGGCCAAAGGAGCAACAACATGATAAGGAATCATAAATATGTAGATCATAGCGACAACGCCTATGCCATAGCCGGGATTAGAGAAATTGCCTTCTTGAGAAAAGGCCGATAGAATAGTCCAAGGGATGAAACTTATAAGCATTCCAACTACACCGATCATGAAGAAACGACGACGACCAAACATTTCGCAATAAGAAGCAATGGCAACAGCTGAGACTACTTCAGATGCAAGAAGGGTAGCATTGATGACGAGTTGATCCTTGGTTGTGGTAATATTGATCCCGTTCAGAATTAGGTGCAAATAGTAACTAATAATTCTGTTTCCAGAAAGCTGCGTAATGACTGGAATGAACAGAATGATAGCGAGGCGGTGACGATTTCCTTTTGTCTTTAACCATTGGATCCATTTTCCAGATTTCTTGATGTTTTCTGACTGCAATGCGGCCCGAATCTCAGCCAACTCGAGGCGTACCAGCAGGGAATCTTCATCACCTCCACCATGGTATTTGACGAGCACAGCGCGAGCCTCTTCAATTTTACCGTGTGCCACAAGCCATCTTGGGGACTCAGGGCAAAAGTATATAAGTCCAATTTGGATAAAAGCGGGAAAGCACTGCAGAAGACTAGGTAATCTCCAAGCCCATGTAGAATCGATATAGTATGATCCGAAGGTAATCAAGGCACCAATCAAGGCACCAAATGGAAAAGATGTTTCATAGAGAGAAGTAAGGACAGGTCTTTGCGTAGGATAGGCCGTCTCGGCAAGTAACATAGGACCGGCGTTGTTGACAAGTGCAAGGCCCATTCCAATGATGAATCGACCTGCCCAAAAGGTACCAAAGTTTTGAGCGACACCTTGAATAATGGCGCCTATGATAGTGAGTATTGAACCAGCAATAATCGGCCAGCGTCTACCGAATTTGTCGCAGATGTAAGATGCAGGGAAGAGCATAAGAAGGCCACCAAAAGTAGTTCCACTTGACAATGTTCCAAGACTAGCACCTGTAGGTTTATTGAAATAGTCTTCCCACACTGCAAGGGATTGAAGACCATTAAGCATACTACCGTCATAGCCGTTGGTAGCTTGAAGAACTATTGCACCAAAGAGGAAAAAATTCAAATTGCGAAGGTGTGGATAATGCCACCACATTTTGTCCATTCTTGGGGCGGCATCCTTCAACATCATATTGAGATCGACTTTGTCGTCGTTGTTGACATGACCAACATTGTCCATGTTGGCATCCTTGTTGACAGCCATTTGTAGAGTGGGGGACTTAACCAAGCAGGGATATGACCTTTTATAAAATGTCTGGAAGGCGTAGTAGAATTCTTTCGTTACATCAGAATACTCACCAAAAAAAAAGCATGATAGTCCATTTTTCTCGTAGCACATAAAGTTTATTATGTTGGTAGAACTTTCCCCACATTGGTACTCAGGGTCTTGACTTGAGTCTAACTGTGCAAGCTATCCCCGGTGTCGGGCAAATCTAGGGTCAACATCCGCTGCACATGTTGTACGATGAACCGTCTATTTCTCGTCTTATAACCAAATAGAGAACATATTCCATTTGTATCATTGTTTGGAAAACCCTGCACACTTTGCCTTACAAGGATCTTTTACCATTTTGTGATCTCTAAGCCCTGGGCCATTTGTTATACAATAGTGGTGAAATCCGTTTTTAGAAAGAAATTAAAGACTTTCACGTATAATGATTGATTGTAAGATCTTTACTAGTTCTTGTAAAGTACATCGACAAAGCTTTGACGGTTGAATAAACCTTACCAGTGCTGCCAGTGGAGCAAAACTCCGCCATAGAGAGCTACCACCACAACTGACACAAGAGGTTAGCGAAGAGACTTTGATCAACAGCCAACTTTTCCCATGCCCATTGCCCTCGCAGCAGGAGAAATGCAGGGTCCGTCACCGTTCACCATAGCAAACCTTACTAGATCACTATAATAACAATATATATATATGAATCTCACAGCTAAGGGCTCAATTAACCACTCTTTATTGTCTACATATCCATCAATTCATAATGCAAATTTCACCAAGTGTTGGCTTCCCACAGAAAAATGTCAAAAGCGAGTTGGATCGTACCGAAACCGCACAAGAAGCCATAGCAGAAGAGACAAAAGCTGTTTTCAAAGCTGTTCTCGATCATTCTGCCATGGAAAGATCTTGAAGGTCGCCAATCAAGAGCCACCTGTTCCTGACACTTTCCCACACTATACCAACTTTGGAGCAACCGAATACGTCTACGAATATTCAAAGCGGTGGACCTCTGGCTTTTTTTCTGGTAGTGTATGGGCACTTTGCGAGCGTGCATCCAAGAGAGAACTGCCTGTTTCATTTGACGACTTGGTCAAGATCGCAAGAAAATGGCAAAGTGGTATGGAGAAGGAACAGTACAATACTGAGACTCACGATATTGGGTTCATGATTATGCCCTCCTTCCAACGAGACTTGGATCTCACTGGCAGTAAACCATGTGGCGATGTCATTATCCAAGCAGCTAATTCCTTGCTGACCAGATGGAACGAGACCATTGGATGCTTGAGGTCTTGGAACCAGTCAAGTACCAAGATCTATGAGTTCACCAACAAATATACTGATTTCCTTGTTATCATCGACAACATGATGAATCTGGATCTCCTCTATTCCGCAACATTGCTTTCAGGAGATCCCAAATATGCA